AGTCAATCCAAAGAGCTTGTGATTGCTATCACTGGTTTCCATGTGATGGTCACGCTGTGCATCTCTTTTGACCATTAATCTTGATTACTTGCCCCCAAAATTGACAATATCCTTGGAATTGTCAATAAGTGTTCTTTTGTTTAAATGCTGTGAGCTACTCAAAGCTGCTAGTTGGTTCAGGCTTGTGGCGCCAGGATCTGATTTACGAACATCCTGTGTCTTGGGCCTCTGTGGAATTCGGCTCCTCGTGTTTCAACTGTTCTTTATCAAATCTTAAATTGTCTGATTCGGTCTGATACCCTACACAAGTTAAGAGTTCTGGATAGTTCAACCAAAATGAAAATTGTCATCATTTGCTCACCCTCAAGTTGTTCCAAACCTGCATGAATTTTTCTTCTATGATTTTTTTTTTTTTGGTTTTGTCCAGTGGAAGTCAGTGGGCACCAGAATTCTTGACAAATTTTTGGTTTGTTCTCTGCAGAGGAAGGAAATTTGAAACGATATGAAGGTTAGTAAATGACTATAGAATTTTCATTTTTGGGTGAACTATTCATTTAAAGCTCTGTTCACACTGGACAGAAACTGTAACTATAAGAGAATAACGAAGTCCACACCATAACCTTAACAATAATGACACAGAGCAATGATATCAGTGGAATAACTTTCAAATAGGGCTGAACGATTTTGAAAAATATAACGATTCAATATGCAATTATTTTTTAAAGCTGTTTATGTTCTGTATTATTCAACAAAGACAAGCTATGAATCATTGTATAGTATGACCAACACACTATAGATTAAACATAAATGTTCTTTTCTGTAGGGCAGGCCTATATGTTACGATGAAAATGGGTGATGCATGAATTGATATGAATGACATTTTTATTTAACAACTACAATCACAGTAGTATATTGACTGATTTGTTGAACTTCCAACCTTGTAAGCATGTAATAATTATGACAACATAAAGCACTGACAAATAAGCCTGGTGTAAACATTAATATGAAAGTCAGTAACAAATCACACAAACTAAAGTAGATTGCAGAAATATAAAAACAAGTCTTTTGCTTTACCACACTACTTTAGGTAATTCAAAGTCACTGTAATAAACATATGTAAACATTTGGACTGCACTTTTTAAACACTGTCTGGTAACTTTAGACCAGTGGTTCTCAAACTTTTTTGGTCACGCTCCCCTTTAAACCTATAAACTAACTCTCAGAGTAGACTGTTAGGGTAGGTTTAGGGTTAGTAGAATAAGTTGACAAAGAAAGTGTTAGAAGATATTAAGCAGACAGTCTACTAATAGTCTACTAACTGCTAGTTGACATGTAGTTGCAAAGTTACTTCATTGAATGTTTAGCCCTTCCGTGTTTTCTAGTTTCCATGTTCCTAAGTTTTGCCTTTCTCGTGTTTTGTTCCTTGGACTGTTACCTTGTTTTTGATTGACTGCTGCCTGCCCTGATCATTGCCTGTCTTGTTGGATTACTCTTTTGTCTGTGCCTTAGATGTTATTGTTTGCTGGTATTTGACCCTGCCTGTCCTGACTACGCTCTTTTTAATAAAGCCTGCTATTGGATCCCCACCTCGTTGTCATGACGCCTCAATCGTTACAGAATCACCAGCCACACCCGGATCCAGCGGCTTTATTCAGCAACCCAGCCCAAGCATGGACCCAGTAGACCAGCTATTACATCTTCGTCAAGGAGGCTTATCTATTGAGGAGTATGTTCACCGGTTCTGTGAGTTGTCATATCAAGTACCGCTTTATGATGAAGTTTTGTTTAAGGACTTGTTCCATTTTGGACTCTGTGAACCAACTAAATCATTGTTACCTGGAGGGGAGTTTAACGGTAGTTTGAGGGACAGTATGGACGATGCTCTCTTGTTATGTGGTTCTTCTTTCACTGTGGGAGAGGCAGAGGACTTTAAAGCCCCAGAGACT